AAAAAAAATAAACATATGCAGTTTAAATATGTAAGTATATATGTACACACCTACGGCACATAAATATATGCATACAAGCGTGCATACATGTGTATTTGTACATTAGACCATACCACCATAGAAGCAAATAAAAAGCATTTCGTCGTATACCCATAAAATATTTTTGCAAGGAAATTTTATATTAATTTTTTGGCCGAAACTATGGGTCGTATTTTTAAATTTTTCGGTGGCACCTACATACATATGTAAATATATACGGCACTAAAAATTTTTTTTTTAAAGACTGCAGTGAACCCGCATGGCGTTAAAACGCCAAAAATATTCTTAATGATTCATCTGAACCATTTCTGAGTCATGAGAGGTTTCGTGTGGTGTCGGTTTTCATTTCATCAAGTTTCAAATCTCTCTGTACTGCTAAAAAGTTCTAACTTCAAAAAATAAAACGTTATTGTGCATCTACGTAGAATCCCACTTCATTGATTTTCTCATTTTGGAAATTGGAAATAACGGTGCAGATGTTATGACCTTAAAAAAAATATATGGCAATGCTAATTAAAAATATTAGCCTAAAGTTTTCTTAAAACTCTTTCGTTTGACACTAATATTTCGATATTTCATTCATGTAGCTTGTGTATAAGTAAAATTCGATTTTTCAAACAGGTGGCAATCCCTTTAAAAGTATTTCCAAACTAAAATCTTTTTATCGTCTGGCATTGTTATACATATTTCAATTAACTGATGACTTAAGTTGAATTTTATTTCCTACAAACGGGAGCGACCTACAGTTTTACGCCGACTCTGAACGGCGATTGTATTTTTATGAGAACTATTTTTTCATAGCAGAAATACACACGGAGGTTTGCCATTGCCTGCCAAGGGGAGACCGCTATTAGAAAAAATCGTTTTTAATTTTTTTTTAAGTTTTTTCATGTTGGGTTGAAGCGGGCTTGATATTTTCTCATGATGAACCCGCGTACCAATGATACCCCTCTCCACCTCTTAACAGACAGCAAATCACTTTGTCATGACTAGAGTCAAAGTGGATTAAGTACATCAGAAAGCTAAAATGTCACAGCAGCGAACTATAAATGCGAGTCGAGCAGATATGGCATACCGTGAGCTTGAAGAGGAAGCAGTTGCGCTTTTCAGGACATATTTATTGGTTGCTTTTCATTAGTTTCCCTGGCCCGCGTAGGCATATCTCGCACACATTTACGCATATATACATACATATCACATATGTTTCAGGCTTGGAAATACTACAACAATAATGTACACGTCTACATACATACCTACAAATATCCCTTAAATACACCTGGCGCACCAACTCGCCCGCGACCCAAGTGACGATGTTATTACCCAGAAATAATCGATTGGCAGGGATTAGAAAAAAATTTGCCGAATTAATGCGATTCCGAACTGGAAGTACTGCAACCAACCAGGTAGGCACAAACGAGTACTTATCTACGTGAATACATACATACATACATACATACATACATATGTACATAGTCAGATGTATGAAACACCCTGCAGGGAAAGCTACTAGTTGTGAACTAGAATTCTACCGGTTTGCGTTTCAGCCGAACTAGTTCACGATCTATCCTTTTTCAATGTTAGCGACTGGTATTTTTAACATTGCGATGTCCTACGAGATGTCAATTGTCAGGCTATGCATCAGCATCTACTAGTATAAATACTAGTAGCATCATACCAGTTGATGAGATAGTCTGCCAATTCATGCCCCGTGAAAAGCATAAGTGTGACTTTTTGCTCGCGACGCTCCAGCAGTCAGAATGGCCGACAGAGCAAAGCACTCGCGTGGTAAGCCTGAGGTCCCAGGTTCAAATCCTGGCGCAAGGAAAATTTTTTTATTTTCTTTTTTTTTATTTCATTTTTATTTTTTACATTTTTTTTTTGTTTATGCTGTTTATTGTAATTTTTAAATTCAATAAAAAAATATTTTTGTTTAATTCCTTTTTTTTAATAGCACAAGCATTTCTCCCTAAATGTTTTTTTGCAATGCAATTAGATTTTCAAATTTGTTATTTATTTATAAATTGAATAAATTATTTTTACTTACATTTATTTAACTTTAAAAATCTTAACCACCTCCAAGCGGCCTCGAACCTGCGATTTCAGAACCAGAACCAGTAGTCTTCACGTGACGCCACAGCCGACATTTGTAAGAAAAGCAATTAATTGCGTTTTATTTTTGGCTTTGGCAATTCAAAGGCAGATGGCGCTGATCGCCTAAGTTCTTCAAAATTGTCAAACTGGTAGGCACATACTAGTTAATGAACTAGTATTTTTTCTAACTGGTTTGGCTTTTCACTGCAGGGCAATAACAGCAAAACATGGTGGAATAGTAGAAGGAATAAAGCGAAAATTGTGGGCAGCAATTGCAATACATACATATGTACATATGTAGAAATGGAAGCTAGCAAGCAACGATATCAATACTACTGCAACTGAGGGCGATAACCGACGGTCGGCGGTCAGTTGTTGGCTCTGAAGAACCGCAACTGCAGCGTGGCAATGCTATCATCAACGGCCGCTGCAAAAATAACAATACACAAATATATATACATAGATAAACTACATATATGTGTGTGTGTGTGTAACACCTGTCACCCGTAAGGACAATACAAAACGCGTAAATCTATGCACCGCGAAATACGTATAAGTTGAGTTTTGGTGGGTTTGAGGTTGGCGGTTGGCGCTTGCGAAGCATTGAAATATCAAAACTGTGTGCGGATGGGCGAATCAGTGTTGCCATTTCGTTCTAAATTGACCAAAAGTGATTAAGTATGCATTTTTGTTTGCTTTAGTCTAGTGGTACAAATTTACATTTTATTTAAAGGCGAAATAGGCAGGATTGAATTTTTTGTTTTTCCTTTTCATTAAACCCAAACATTTTTTGTCGATATTGGTGAGGGAAAGAATCTCAGGCAAATTACTATATTAACGTTTAGAGTTGTGTAAATAACATGTCCGGATATATTTACATAGTTGGCAGAGTATTCGCCTTCCAAACCTGGAAGGGCTCGAGTCTCAGCTAGTGCTAATTTTCACTGAAAATCCACATGGCGAACGCAGCAGAAATGGGGGATGCTTGGGGACGGAAACCCATCCTTAATGTACGCTTTAATTTTGATACTGAATTAGAGAAACGCGTTTAGCAGCGTTTTAGGAATGCGGTTTAGATTACGATTAATACAAGGATGAAGGTGAAGATGAATATTTAGATGAAGGAAAGGACAAAATCATAGATAAAAATAAAGAAAATTAAAGACAAAAACAAAGATGAAGGCAAATTCGAATATTTAACTTAAGGACAAAGGTGAAGGTATATGTGTAGAAGAAGAAAAGAATAAACATAAGTATAAAGACTAAGATACAAATAAAGATAAAGAACAGACAAAAAGATAAATATACAGAAAAAAGGATAGAAACAAGAACTCACCTGAGCTGAACTCATGCCAATCACCATATCCCACCTCAATTAATCTCACTTAAGCTCTCATCTCACCTCGTCTCACCTCACCTCACCTCACCTCACCTCACCTCACCTCACCTCACCTCACCTCACCCCACCTCACCTCACCTCACCTCACCTCACCTCACCTCACCTCACCTCACCTCACCTCACCACACCTCACCACCAGTTAAGCTAGTCAAAAATAAAATGGATTTCTTGATTTATGATTTGATCATTTTCTAAAATCAGTCATACCAGTGCCGAAATTGCAAAACTTTCAACACTCAATTTTAATTTAAAATTATAGCAGTTTACACAATAATTGTTTATTAGTTTGTTCGATTTATTTGTTTTGTTGTTTGCTTGTTATTGTCTTTGCTCATTAATCATTCACAGTAATTAATTTTCAGGGTTGTATACCGGAAGTTGAGTCAACTTCGCCTCAATTCCACTGAAATTGAGAATAGTGTTGAAATTGCCCAATTTGGGCTTCGTGGAGACTTACTATTATGTCATGTAAAGTTCAGTAGATCGAAACATAGATATGTACAACTATCAGTATTTGGAACGTTTAAGAAATGATGTAAACAAAGTTTCACTTCCTTAGCTGAGCCGCGCACAGACACACTCATTTTATTTTTTTTATTTACGTCGAACTCAAAATATGAATTTCAAGTTATTCAAGTAGATACTCAGACAAGTTTTTTTTTCTATTTGGTGAAATTTTTCAACCAAAAACAAAAACATGTACACAAATACTTGTGGCAACAATGCTGTGAATACCTTTTCCTCGTTGCGACTACGATTGGCAATAGAAGCGATGAAAGCAACAAACATAACATACTTCTGGTTGCCGCATATGTCACCAACAGCGCGTCGCGCGGAGAGGCTGTGAGAAGAGGCATAATCGTACATACATACATATAACGAGGGATGGCAGGAAATATTTTGCTATTGCAAGTTGTTGCTATCAAATATGATGCCGTGTGCATATAGTACTATTTCCCATTTGATGTTGCTTTTGGGCGAGTGGGTACATTTAGCGTGCTCGCGCTTACTCCCAGGCGTAGGTGTTTCATGCGGTAAGCAATTAGACAGAGGAGAGAGAAAGAGCTACTGCATTCGATAGTTTAGTATTGAACTGGGCGCTTATTTAGCATAGTAAACTGAACTATGAGAATCGCGAGCGTCTCTTCGCGCTGTGTACACGAGCAGCCCAGCAGAGTTAAGACATTTTTTGGTGGCTTCAGTTGAGATGCAATTACCACCCCTGCAAACTGGCATGCCAGCCAAGCGCGCTTTTGGGTTACAAAGTAATTATTTGGTGAACGCGTAGCGGCAGCAGCAGCAAGCAACTGCAACAGCAACCGCAACCGCATAGTTCGATGAATGACGATTGTGGTGAAGACCACAAAAATAGCAACAACAACAGCAGAAACACTGTACAACAATGGCAGCAAAAATAACAACAGCTCAGCTTTCGTTTGACATAGTACTCCGCTGCCGCTAATGCGTTGAAACCGCGCGCTATTCATAACCGCCAACGCGATTTTGGTCGCAGCAGCAGCAGCAGCAGCAACAGAAGCTAAACTACCTAAACAGTTATTGCACATAGATACATATGTATGCAAAGGGCGAAGGCACTGCACTGCAATAAATGTTTGTTGCAGCTGATATTGTTGTTGTTGCAATTGAACTTTGCTTTGGTGCAACAGCATATATATACATCGATTGTTTTTGTAGTTGTTATGACTACTTTTGACATTCGCTACGCATAAGCTATAGACACACATGCATGTATATATGTATACAGTCAGTGTCAAATGTAAGTGTACACCTTGTTCTAATATAAAATTCACAATTATTTTCATGAAAAATTTGTTTCATTAATTATTTATGAAAATATAGTTCTTTCTATAACACAAACCATATAAATTAAAGTTTCACACTTTATATAAAGTTCATAAAAACTTAAAACAATTTTCATCAAAGTTTCACAATTTTTTCAGAATTTCTAGAAAATTTTCGAGTAAGCAGTTTTGTAGCCCGTTCATTTTTAGATTTGATCAGGGAAGTAAACGCGCAACACGGGCTGATAAAATGCAATTTTGAAACTATGTTGAAATTTTTTTGAATTTTTGTGAACTTTATATAAAGTGAGAAACATTGATTTGTATGGTTTGTGTTATAGAATGAACTATATTTCCATAAATAATTTATGAAAAAAAATTCATGAAAATAATTGTGAATATTATATAAGAGCAAGGTGTACACTTACATTGGACACTGGCTGTATGCATATAAGGATGCATGACTAAAAAAGTTGCATTATAACAATTATTATATTTGAAGACTTCCGCCAAAACAGATTTGCAAAAACACCTCCAAAAATTTCATTATTTTGAATCCGTTGATACAATTTTTTAAACATTTTTATGCAGACCTTTTAAGCTCAAAGTCTTTATTTATCTTAGGTGATTTTTTAGGAAAATTTTATTTCTGAAAACCAATTTTATTAAAAAAAACTAGATTTTTGGAGGTATTTTTTAAATAGGTCCAGCTTTCGTAAATTTTGATATTTGATTTGATGAAATATTTCTACTTCAAGATTATATGAACTAAAAGTGTGAAGTGTAAGAACTAAATATAAAAAATTTCATAATTCCTATAGAAAACTAGTATAGCTTTTTTTGTATGCAGAGTTATGCACTGTAATGTACATATATACATATGTATGTAAAAGTATGCATATACTACAGATGTAATAGAGTAGTTCGAATATTGATTAGAGATTATGTATTTGGCCGCTATGGTTTCTCTCCATACGCTAAATGTAGATAGGGCAAAATATGCCCACCTAAATGTGTGCAGTAAATGTATGTAAGTCTGTAGGCAACATTTACATATGTATTTAAAAGCATGCGATGCTGTGTATATGTACATATGTATGAGGCTGAGTAGATGATGTTCTTGTAGCTATAAATACCAGCAGCAGTAGGCAGATTTTAGTGAAGCAACACATGCACATACTTACTAGAATGTCATAGTAAGAAATTCACATCAAATAACGGTCAAGTAAGACACTTTCAATAACATTGTAGTGACGCTAATATGACACAAGAAAACGCCGAGACACGTAAACTTAATTTTGGACCGTAGATTACGGATCTGTATACCGTTTTTCTAGATCAGATAATTTTCCGAAGAAATTTTGCATTTTAAGCTTGCACGGCAAATAAAAAATTCAAACATTAACCTGGAAAATGTTTCTCATACGCCATGTACTAGTATGTACGTGTATGTACGATATGGCGTATGAGTAACATTATTTCATGCTTCTGTTTCATATAAAAAATTATTGCACCTTTTTATTTGACTATTGAAAATTTGTTCATTTATCGATCGATTTCCATCGTTAGTAGCTTGATTTTTTGGCAAAAGAACAGGCTTTAATAAAAACTAGAAGTTCCAGTTACTGCCGAAATTCGACCATTTTTTCTTTGTTAGTTTTTCCTGGAGATGTTTTCAGACTAAGCAGGTCGATTAACTTATAAGGTACAAAATTACTTAACGGAAAGGTGGCATAAAAAAGCAATAAAATAAAATTACAGAAACGATACTTAAATTAAAAAAATTAAATTGTTCGGCAACCGAACCCGAACCCGAACCCGAACGCTTAATGTGACACTAGAAAAAACCTTTTTTCTATATTTTTTTGCGATGTTGCTTTGACCTGGGCTTGAACTCAGGCTTTGTGGAATGGAAGCGCGCACTTCTTACCACTACACCACAGGTGACGTGGTATGTAGGTTGATTTATTGCAGACTTCGGTTAGCCTTGAGGCAGCAGAGCACACTATCAGGCGAAAGTTCGCCAAACATATGCCGGAGCGGAAATTGGAGATCCCTTAGGCTACCGACAACAACACCTGTGAGTCTCACTACGCGTGAACGATGACTCCGCCGGAAATAGGAAAGCCCACTGGTTGCTCTCAAAGCCGGATTGTCCTCCGCCGTGCAGGCTTCATCCCAGAGCTATGATTTCTGAACATCTGCAGGCTCAATTGTATTTTTATTTAGAAAGTTTTTAATTTTTTTCTCCACGGAAAATGGGAAAGTGCACCGCGGAGACTTCGATACCATGGCATGTCTAATTGAAA